CAGGAATGCTGCATGAGACATCTTGTCTATTAGAAATCCCTTCCCCAACCTGATTCTTCTGCTTTCTATACCTCAGCGGTCAACAGATACAGTTTTGGAGGTCAGCTATAGGCTGAGTGGAGTGACCCAGAGTGTGGTCCCTGCCCTAGAGTGACCTCGAGCATCACCCTGGTCATGTGTTTCCTGGGTTTTATACTTCTCTGGTGGATGAAGAAAGAAGAAAACATCAATGAAAGACATAAGACTGGGGTTACTTTTTCCTTCAAGACATGACAAAGTACAAAAATAAATATTTCCTCTTAAATGTGTCTGGGTAACAAGATGTCCTTAGGTTTTGAAATGAAAATATAAGAAAAAATTTGAACTACAACACTACAGTAATAAAAGAGTGAGTGATATAACTGAAAGAATATACACATAGATCAATAGAACAGAACAGAAGGTCCAGAAAAAGACCCACACAAATATGGACAATTGATTTTTTACAAAGGTGCAAAGGCAATCAACGGAGAAAAGATAGTCTTTTTAGTAAATGAACAAATGGGGCCGGAGCAACCGGATGTCCACGTAAAAAAAAAAAAAAAAAAAGCCCCAATCTATACTTCACACTATACAAAAATCAACTCAAGATGGATGGTCAACCTAAATGTAAAATGTACAACTATAAAGTATTTAGAAGAAAACATAGAAGAAAATGTTTCAGGTCTTGGGTTAGGCAAAGAGTTCTTAGATATGACAATCCATCAAAGAAAAAATTTGATAAATTGGGTATCTCCAAAATTAAAATCTTTCCTCTGCAAAAGACACTGTTAAGATAATGAGAGGGACTTCCCTGGTGATCCAGTGGTAAAGAACCCGTCTTCCAATGCAGGGGACGAGGGTTCGATCCCTGGTTGGGAAACTAAGATCCCACATGCCTCAGGGCAACTGAGCCCGCGCACCACAGCTACCGAGCTCGCGTGCCTCAATGAAAGAGCCTGCATGCCACAAACTACAGAGCCCACGCGCCCTAGAGCCTGCACACCACAGCTAGAGAGAAGCCCACTCCCCGCAACAAAAGATCCCACATGACTCAACGAAGATCCTGCTGCCACAACTAAGACCTGACACAGCCAAAAAAAAAAAAAAAAAGAGAATGAGAAATGAGCTGCAGACTGGGCGAAAATATTTGTATATCACATATCTGATAAAGAATTTGTATCCAGAATATATAAAGAACTCTCAAAACTGAACAATAAGAAAATAACCCAATTAAAAACAGTCAAATGATTTGATATGCCCTTCACCTAAGAAGATATATGAATGGGCAATAGGCACATGAAAATAAGTTTATCCTCACTAGGTACTGGGGAAACGCAAATTAAACCACAGTGAGAAACTTCTACACACCTACAAGAATGAGTTAAAAAAGAAAAATAACAATGTCAATACCAAGGGCTGCCAAGGATGTGGAACAATTGGAACTCTCATACTTTGCTGGAGGGAATGCAAAAACAGTACAGATTCTAAGAACGGTTTGATGGTTTCTTATAAAGTTAAATATGTACTTATCATATGACTCAGTAATCCCACTCATAGGTATTCACCTAAGTGAAATGAAAACCTATGCTTCCACAAAAACCTATATACAAATGTTTACAGCAACTTTATTTATAATTGCCAAAAACAGGAAACAACCCAAAAGTCCCTCAAGTGGGAAATGAATAAACAAAATGTGGTGTGTACCTACAGACTAATACTACTCAACAACAAAAAGGAATGAACTATTGATTCATATAACAATATGGATAAATTTCAAATGCGTTATGCTAAGCGAAAGAAGCCAGACAAAAAGAATATCTAATAAATGATCCCATTTGTATGACATTCTGGAAAAGTTACAACGACAGGATAGAGAATAGATCGGTGAGTACCTGGGCTTAAAAGTTGGAGGAGGGGTTTTGTTTGGTGATAGAACTGCTCAGGATCTTGATTGTGGTGGTGGCTATATGACTATGCGTTTGTCAAAACTCATAGATGCTTTTATAAAAAAGAGTAAAATTTTACTTTATGTCAATTTAAAAATAAATATTTAAAAAGTGAAATGAAAATATTTTCCAATAGCTTTTCGCTTCAATCTTTAAATTATTTTATAGATAACATGGTAGAGCATCCACAGAGCACTCAAGTAAGGAAAGAGTTAATTTTGCCTGTCTCTAAAAATCCCAGCAGGGCAGGGTCTCTTAGAAAGGAAATATCAAGTGTTCCTTTAGCTGCCACTGCAAGGGCAGGGCTGGAGTAAGCAGAATATTTGGGTATTCTCCAAGAATGGCCCCAAGTCAGTGTCTCTAGTGCCAGACCAGGCTGAGCAGCCCAAGGGAGGAGGAGAAACGTGACTGGGATCACCTGGAAGGGAGGGAAAAGCTCTTCAAAAAGTTACCAGTGCCAAAGAAGGCATTCTTTCTCAATGAAAGGCAGAATGTTGGATGACTTCCCATGGGATCGGGGCTGTTATCATAGAGGACCTAACCCCCTTTGTCCACCTCTGCCCTCCTCTCTTACCTACTGGTGTTCACCCGCTATAATGCACTCATGGTCCTGATTGCATATGTGAATAGTCTAAACTACCTTCCCCAGGAAAGAAAAACTCTGAAACTGCTTTCCTCCTTGCTACCCACACCCTCCCGTAGAATATCTTTCTCCAAAATCCAAAGGCATAGCTTTAAGGTTCATTATTCATTTAGGTGCAAGGAAGACTCTGAGTTTCCAATTCAAGTAATCCACATTCATGTGTGAATGACCCATGGCTGCTACTGTTGCTTTTTTTCCCCTCCCGCTGCAGAGCACAGGCTCCGGACGCGCAGGCTCAGCGGCCATGGCTCACGGGCCCAGCCGCTCCGCAGCACGTGGGATCCTCCCGGACCGGGGCACGAACCCGTGTCCCCTGCATCGGCAGGCAGACTCCCAACCACTGCGCCACCAGGGAAGCCCTACTGTTGGTTTTTAAAAGAGGAGGTGTCCCCCTGACCTTTGTCTCCTCACTGTCCCTGACAGAAGAAAAAAGGACAGCTTCTTGGCAGCTCACCTTTCAGGACACTCAACCCATACCCTCTTGTGTCAGTTCAGAGGTGCATGGCCTGAATGGTCCTGTCTTCTTGTTACTACCTTTATTGGAAAGTGGGGATAGATGGATTCTTAGTCCGTTTCTGTAAGACAGGGACATGGGTATGCACATGCCACCCTGGGCACCATTCTTTTGGCTGTGCTTATAATAGCTGGTAATCACACTTCCTCTCAAAGAAAGCCTTTAGCTCAAGGACTACATTCTCATCCTTGGCTTCAGCTAGGGGTCATCACCTGTTCCTCTTTCTCAGGCCCCTCCCTTTGACCTTTCTTACCTGCTGTCTGATGAAGCGGCATTCCCAGGCTCAAAATTAGCAGGAGAAGGAACATGTTCTGTACCGGATCTGAAACAGACAATTGAAAGTCTCAGGGCCTTCTGCAGTTTTTCTGGGTCTCATGATTTGGTCATTTGCTCACTTCTGAAAACAGAACAGGGAAATGACTGGTAAACAAATCTTTTGGGGAGGCAGTGGACCATGGTGGAGTAGATCTGGGAAGAGAAGTTAAAGGGTGATTGTCTAAAGGAGAGGAGAGATGGGGTAAGAAGAAGCAAGGCACCCTTTATTGATCCAAATTAGAAGCTCATATGAACCAGTGCTCATGAGTCACCCACACAGCTAGTTATCTGTACCTTTTTGTTTCTTCCATAGTTTTAGTGTAGGCCCTTGAAAAACAGTCTTGTTCATCAGATGAACAATGCATGTCATCTTTTCCAGCTGGACTGGAACTCTGTGAGTTGAACACTCAGTGCTCAATAGAACAGAGCTGGATTCTCAATAAATACTTGCTAGTTGACTGAGCAGGTAAAGTTGCCAAGCTCTTTAGAGTGCTGTGATCCAGTGTGCCCATCACTTGAACTACCTGTTACTAAGAGGTGCAGACAGGGATTGCAGAGAACTGCAAACCCAGCTGAGTGGGTGCCAAACCTTAGTCCTGCTTCACCTCTCGTGCTTCCACTTTTGCTCACAAACTTTCCCACCCAAGGACTTCTCACGGTTGAAGGCAAAAGGGACAGGGTATACCACTGTCAGCTTTTTCTGTCCTCAAAGCGGCTTTCAAAATTTTATTAGCCATGGAACCATTTCTTCAAGGGGAATCAATTGGAGCCATACATCTAAATCAGGTAAAAGCAGAGCTGCTCTGAGTACAATGGAAAGCCAGTGGAGGATTTGGATCAGGAGAATGACATGATCTCATTTATATTTTTAAAAGAGGATTCAGTTTTGGTGTAGACAATAGACTACTGTTGTGAAGGAGAGTGGGATGGGCAAGATTGGAGGCAGAAAGATCAGTAAGAAATGTTTTCACAGAGATGATAATAGTTTGGACCAGAGTGGTGGGGCTAGTGGAGGTGAGAAGGGGTCTGTTGAAGGTTTTTTATATTTATACATTTTAAAAATGTATTAAAATTTTTAAATTGGTCCCTTAAATTTATTAAATTTTTTAATATCTTTATTGGAGTATAATTGACATACAATAGAGGATTATGTGTGTATACATATATATTTAAGACACAGATGATCCAGTGGTATGATTCAGTGGTTTTTAGTATATTCTACAGAACTGTGCAATCCATACCACTGTGTAATTTTGGATCATTTTCATCACTGCTAAAAGGAACCCAATACCCATTAGCAGAAAGCCCCCAATTCTTCTTCCCTCTCCCTCCAGTCCCTGGCATTCACTCATCTCCTTTCTGCTTCCATCAATTTGCTTATTCTGGATATTTTATATAAATGGAATCATACAATATGTGGTCTTTTGTGTATAGCTTCCTTTTGTGTATAGCATATTATTTTCAAGACTCATCTGTATTGTAACACATTACCAATACTTCATTCCTTTCTATGACTGAATAATATTCCATTGTATTAACACATCACATCTTTCTTATCCATTCATCAGTTGATGGACATTTGAGTTGTTTCCACTTGTTGGCTATTATGAGTAATGCTATTATGACATTCATGTACAAGTTTCTGTGTAGAAATGTTTCCAAATCACTTGATTATATATGTAGGAGTGGAATTGATCAGTTAAACGGTAACTCTATATTTAACTTTTTGAGAAACTGCCAAACTGTTTATCAAATATATGATTTGCAATTACTTTCTCCTATTCTGTGATTGTCTTTTCAGTTTCTTGGTAGTGTTCTTTGAAGCACAAATGTTTTAATTGTAAAGTACAAATTAATTTAATTTTGATGAAGGCCAGTTTATCTGTTTTCTCTTTTAATTGCTTGTGCTTTAGGTGTCATCTCTAAGAAAATATTGCCTAATCCAAGGTCACAAAGATTTACATCTATGTTTTCTTTTGAGAATTTTATAGCTTTAGTTCTTATATTTAGGTCTTTGATCCAGTTTGAGTTAATTTTTGTGTATGGTGTGAGGTAAGGCTCCAGATTCATTGGTTTGCACATGGACATCCAGTTGACTCTGAATAGTTTGTTTAAAGGAGTATTCTTTCTCCATTGAATTGTCATAGCACCCTCACCAAAAATCAATTGACATTAAATGTATGGACTTAGTTCTGGAATCTCAATGCTATTCCATTGAACCATATGTCTATCCTATGTCAGTATCACAGACGATTGATTACGCAGAAGCTTTGTGGTAAGTTTTGAAATCGGGAAATGTGAATCTTCTAACTTGTTTTTCTTTTTTTTAAGACTGTGTGTGTGTGTGTGTGTGTGTGTGTGTGTGTGTGTGTGTGGCTATTCTTGCTCCCTTGCATTTCCATGTGAATTTTAGGATCAACTTGTCTATTTCCACACAAAAAAAGCAGCTGGAATTTTGATAGGGATTGTACTGAATCTGTAGATCCATTGGGGAATATAGCCATCTTTATAATATTAAGTCTTCTAATCCATGAATGGGGCATGTCTTTCCATTTATTTAAGTCTTCTATATTCTCAAGAAGATTTGATGGGAATTGCTGACAGGTTGGAAATGTAGTTTGACAAAAGTAAAGAAATCCAGGAAAATTTCTAGGTTCGGAGCTTGAGTCACTAGGGCAATGGAGATACTATTTATTAAAAAGGAGAAGACTAAGAATGAAGCAGATTAGGGAGCAGAAATCAAAAATTGTATTTGGAATATGTTTGGTTTGAGATGTCTATTAGACACGCAAGTAAAGATGTTTAGTAGGTGGTTGGACAACTGGCGGTCCAAAGTTTGGGGCAGAGATATAAATCTGGGAGTCATCAATGCATAAGTGTTACTTAAAGCCATGGTGCTGCATGGTATCACCTAAAGAGAGATAGAGAAGAGAAGGTGTCAAAGGACTGAGATATGGGGCATTTCAACACTTAGGGGTCTTTGAGAGGGAAGGTACTAGCAAAGAAGATTGAGAGAAGGGATATAAAGGTAAATTAACCATCCCTTTTATTTTCTGTATTCTGTTGCTTTGACATCTGGAATCTTGCTGACTTTAGAGGGACTTCCCCCTCAGGATTAGCCAATTCCTAGAGACAGTAAACAACTGTCCCCTGAGTGTGCCTTTCATATGCAAACCAACCAGTCCAGAGCCCTACCTCCAATCACCTTTTTATTGGGCTCTCACTCTCTGGGTCACCATCTATCTGCCCTAATCACCCTAGGGTCAGTTACCAGATACCCCTATGCCCCCAGAGTCTGCTGAAATTATACAAACTATCCCCATTCCTTCCTGTGGAACCCAGAGTACAGGCTCCTGCCTACTCTTCCCCCTCTCCCTCTGCCTCCTGTGTGACCCTGGTATTTGCCTGTATGGCCCACTATGGTGTGGCATGCCCCTTTCTCTTGGGATCTGTGAGTATAACAAACTATTTTTTCAATGGCAGTCACCTCCTGATCTGTTGGCCTCACCATTCCTAAATAATAGATATAATAATAAATAAAATAATAGTAATAAATAATAATAAAACCTAGAGTTTAAAACATAGTGCTGGAAGGAGGGAGTGATCAGTTGAGCCAAATGTTTCTGAGAACAGGATTAAGCAGTATGAAGGTCATGGATGACCCTGATAAACACAGTATCAGTAGATCTGGTACAGATAAAAATAGGAAATAAGGAAGTGGAGACAACAGAATATAGGCAACTTGTTAGAAAATAGTCTATAAAAGGGCGCAGAGATATGAGGCAGTAGCTAGAAGCGAATGCAAGGTCCACAGTGGGCTGTATTCTTGTTTTTAGTTTAGGGAGGGAAATATTACAGCAGATAACAACTAGGAACAGAATCTAGTGCTTTCTACCAGGAAATGCTCAAGACACACCTTAGCTAGACTTGAAAACCCTCTTCCTTACTGAAAGTGCAAATATATCCAGAAAAGATAACATTTTAAGCTGCACCTGCAGCCTAGCACTTGCCTAGCATTTTTTTTTCCTAGAGTACAAAAGGATAGCATGTAACATGAAGTTCTGGCAACAGAAAGGACTCCTGGTACACCCATCACTCGTTTTAACTTCCCCTTCTTCCCTGCCCATCCAAGGGGACTTTCCTTGCACACTGTCTCCTTGAGTCAACTGAGAGACAGACACTGTCGTAAAGGTACTTTCCAACTAGCAGCCTTCTTTCTCCTAGGGATAAAGTGCCCCATGAAATGGTTAAGAGCTCAGGTTCTAACGTCAGACACATCTGAGTTCAGATTCTGAGTCTACAAAGTATTAGCCTCTAAGACCTTAGACAGTTTATGAAAATGTTTCGTGTCCCGTTTCCCTAAAGTGCCAATAATAATAACTCCTACTTCAAGCCGGAATCCTGGGGGAGTCATCTTAAACCTACACATTGCTTATCTTGCACATTCAGTCCAGACTCCAGTCCTATTAATTCTACTTCCTGGATACACCATAGCAGAGCCTCCTCACTGCCATTTTTACCTCCTAGTCTTGTTTCCTTCTGCTCCATCCTTCTCTTGTCATCACAAACCTTGGCGTCATCCTTGGCTCCTGTCTTCTATCACCAGCATCTGATTCATTAACACATCCTATAGGCCCTTCTTTCAAATATATCTAGAATCTGACCATGTCTCACTGCTTCCATATCAACCTAAGCCATTATCGTGTCTTGTGGCGATTCTAACCTTGCCTTCCTACAGTTGATTCTCAACACAGGAGCCAGAATGATTCTTTAAAAATGTAAGTCAAAGCAGGTCTGCTCAAAACCTTTAGATGGCTCAGTATTTCACTGAGAATAAACTCCTAAGTCTCTCCAATAACCCAGGTAATAGGGGCCTCTGTCTTGAGTCCCCCTGCCATGCTTTAGATGAGCGCACTGTAGCCATGCCCCTCCCTGCAGTGTGGGTGTTTGCTGGGTTGAGAGGTGTCATCTGGACCTCTTGACCTCCCCCCAC